TAACAATTAATTTCTTTTACTATTTTTTCTGTACTCCTATAACAGCACCAGACAACACCTCCAGAGGAATGACGCCAATTTTGAATCACCCTGTAGAGTGATTCAAAATTGGCATCCTTTTAAGGGGTTATAGGGCTTACTTGGAGAAATTTTTTTTCGAAAATTTCTAGAAGAAATTAAAAGTTGAAAATCCAATTTCAACTTTGTTATTAAGTAGTATTTAAAAGTTTTCCCATGTTTAGTTGGTAGTAGGTATATTGGAATACTAAATCATCCGAAAAGAAAAATTACGCTTTTGCTTCAAATTAGAAAAATGTTTTATGTTAAAAAAATTATCTTCTACAATGTTTTGATGAAAATTCAAAGCGGCACTGATGTATTTTGTCATCAACAGATAGTTACAAGTGGATAGCCCTTGTCAATAATAACAATAATTTGTCAAACTGTGACTTACTTTGAATCTCCATTCACGCATTTGCGGGCATGCGATTAGTTCAGGGGAAATGCCACAGTAACATAGCAGAAGCTGTAAGAACTCCCGCCAACAAAGAGCTAGACACTGTAACACTGGTTCGGCTACTTCAGTAGCTTCAACAGAATAAATGTTCGGGTTCGAGACATAGAGAAATATGTTGTGCGGAGCAGAGCATTCCAGGGGTACTCAGAGCATTGCACAACAACTGACATTTTCCCACGCACCAAGTAAATACCGAGCAAGGGCTAGATTGCTACCACGTATGTAAGATATACAAAGCACAAGGACACATTAAGCCAATGGCTTACTGAACACCGATACATATTGGGCATAAGTTAATTAGCCGAATACGAGAACCTCCGAGAGGCACTTGCTTTTTTGGATTTAAAGACTCAAATATATGTTTATTTGTCAGCCTATCAATTCGAAGTTGTGAGGACAATAATTGACATTTTGAAAAAGTTAATTCCCCCATTCAACAAATCCTGTTGAATTTAATGTTTATCTTTGTGTCTATCTTATTGTCACTTTCTGTATAATTCCATGGTTACTGAAAATTTTAATAATTACTATATTTATTACGGTATTTACGTAATGTTAGCAATTATGTTAATGCAGATTACCTTGAAAAACATTGTTGCCGGCTTTCTGATATAGTATAGTTTCTTACGAATTCCTCAGTTTTTGATAACAATTATTGTTTTTCCTATTTTGTATGTACTGCTGAAACACCCCCAGACAACACCTTCAGATGAATTACGCAATTTTTGAATCAGCCTTTATATATAATTTAAAATATAATTTATATGTATTATTTTCTAAAACTAAATCTAAATTTATATTGCGGATAATATTAGCGTGAATCCGTTTTACCCAACCCTGAATAGGAAAAGTAATTTAATTAACAAGAAATTAGCTCTTAAACCACGCTGGCAACATCAAAGGTCCACTTCAAACTTTAGATGAAATAATTGAATTACGGTAGTTAATAGAAAGCCACTTAAAGCACTAAATATAGATCAGTTAATAACTAACTATTTTCAACTTAATTGAAATTTTCTGCTCAGAACGGTAAATATCTAAAAGACCATAACAGAGTCTCAGGTTCAAGACCTATCCTATCTTAGTTGAAATTACAGAATTAACGACTTAAAAATTGCAAATTTTATGAGCGGAGATGTAAAATGAGCAATTATTTGTCTTTCGGTAGAGTGCGAAAATGTGATTAAACCTGGTTTGGAATATTTGCTATATTTTTGTGCTATTTTGTGGTTTTGTGGATTGACATAACATTATTAACAAGTTGTTTCAAGAACATCCTAAACATTGACTAATATTCGAATATTATATTTTTCTTAATGCTAGGCTCATGAAAAATTTAATACTCAAAAGTCAATTGAATCAATGCGTTGCTAAACTATAAGCACTTTCCCATTCACTGAAAAGTAATTATTTTGCTGCTTGGTATGGAAAACTTATATTTGAAAATTATTTGCTTGAAACTAATGATAGTAATTAAGAATGATGCTTTAGGTGAAATTTGAGGAACATTTTCTGAGTGAGTCGTCATATATTTACATACAAACGTAAATTTAAATTCCTTTCTGTGGCAAATTGTAATTGGTAAAAAAATAGTTAGGAAGATTAAACATTTAGTTACAAATAGTTAATAAACCGATGCATGGAGGCATCAGTGCTTCTGAACACTAATACTTCCGAATAATTAACTGCTACTAAACGCAACTAAAGCTGAACCTGTTTATTACAGGTATGAAAATAAAACGAAATTTTGAAAAACTTTTTGTCGTGACAGCACCTATTGTTTGTCACACGCTAATTATTTATTCCCCGTAAATGAGAACGTGTATAATCTCAAAAATGATTGTAGGAAATTAATCAGTTCTAACGGTTGAATGTCCTGAAATTCATTATGCATTTTAAAATAAAAGCTTACCGCAATAAGTCCTCCATTTTCACAAGGGACATTAAGATAGTTGAAATGTATTTCCACTTTTTGGTTGGAGGCTCCAAATATGTAAATACCACAGGCTAACCCGTCTGGAGTCGTTTTCGCTTTATGATAGAAAACGCCTTCTTCTGATATCATATGAACGCACTCTGAAATAAATATTAGTAGAATAATAAAAATTCTTTCAATCTGTTAAGTATCTTCATTGCACATTTTAAACATTATTTTACATATATAAATAATCTTTATTTCCTACAGAAAAAGGCTATCGACCAATCGGTCTTTCTGTCCTTGTTTAGTACATATGTCGTAGCCTAGCTTATTCTAAAATTAATTCCTATTCCTAACACCAGTATAAATTAATCAGCTATAAAAAAAATAAAAAATAAAAATTCTTGGCTTACTAAACAAACAGATCTTAGTCCTTAGTTCAGTTGCGTTTGTAGGTGTTCTAGTAACGTATCTGTTGGGGAACGAAAACGGGAGTGTTTTGTCGGTCTTGTGAGGCAAAGAGGATCCAGTATGGTCCAGTTGTGGGGGTTGTTTGTCCATTT